AAAATGAGTGGCAACTGGTTTAGGCTGTGTCAGGAGGAGAGTCTAGCGATTGCAACAACAAGGTTGGCACTGAGTTGTTGAACGGGAGGTCTGAGATCATAGTCAAATGTAGATATGTCAAGAAGTTAACTTTGGGGTTATACGAACCTAGATAATATTGGAATTTTTTCCTTTCCCTTTATTTTTATTTTATTGTTCCCCTCCCTTTCATTTATTCCACTACAACTCCTCTTTTTAAAACGCAATCCGATTGCATGACGGGATCAGGCTTAGTAATTTTGCGCCAAAATTTCATGATCAGTAGGAAAGTCTGGTCGTGTTTCAATAACACTTGTTCGTTTCCTTGAACTAACATCCCTTGAAGCGAACTTCGAATTGGAATTGTCAAAATAAAACAAGTACAGAGGTTAAAATATCTGGGAAGGTCCTTATCATACAATGTAATATGTAACACTGGAATCCGAAAATGCATTTTAATAGCAAAAGATGCTTTCCAAAAAATTATCAAGAGGCAGAGTGAATGTTGAACAATTTCCTTGCAGACGAAGATAAAAACTGAGACGACAATGATGTCGTTCAGGAGAAGGATGCTGACAATACCATGGATGGGATATGCAAGCAATGAGTAATTTTATGATGAACTAGACCGCCTGTAAACCGTTGGGTCAACCTTGTTGTGTTTCCTGCTTACATTTAGTTTCATGAAGAATTTGTGTAAGAAAATTACAGTGTAACCCGGATATAAGAGAGTTGTCGGGACCGGAGAAGAAGTCTCTTATATTCGTGTTTCTCTTATATCCGGGTTTGGTCTATTTTATATATATTAACACAGGCTCTAATTTGGGACCAGATAGAATCTCTCTTATATCCGGGTCTCTTATATCCGGGTTACACTGTACGTCAAAAATACTTTTATTTGTATTTATTGAAGTTGCTTTCAACATTGAAAAAAATGTCTACTTGAAGAAAGTTGAACAATAAAAGCTTGGAATGTCAAAATTCAGAGTGTTGGGATTCGATACAATAACATAAAATATTGTTGTAGGCTGCGTGTAATTCGGCCATTTAGAATAATCAAATTAATTGAAATAATAAAATTCAGTAGATAAGACAATGTAGTTTCAACAAATGAACAATAATTTAATATAACAAGAATACAAGCAATTGGCCATTGATTGAAAAGTAATCCCTCTTTGTTTGGGTCAATAAAATTCTGACATATAATATAAATTCTCTTTGTGTACGTATATGAGAAACAATGAAATTTTTTCGTATTTAGCATGAGGTCATGGAGTTCCCAAGTGAGAGTGGCGTGGACCTTGATAACAGCTGTGTGTATTCTGTTTGAGGCCGGACTTCGTGTGTTTTATACACTTTCTCGTGAGAAAATCGGCTTCATCCCCCACTTCCTACACGATAATAAATTTACGTCTTTCTTTTCCCAACACTCAATATATGACTTGTTTATAGCTTTTTTCTTTTCCCCACTCGCTATATAAGACTTCTGACAAGCACACAAGCTACAAAGTTCATAGAGTTTTATACAGTAATAAGTTGAACACAAAATGGAAACTTATATTTTAAATCAGAAATAGGCGGTTTAAATTTCTCAGACACGTAATGAAAAAAGAAAGCTTGAAAAAATTGACACACTGAGGACATATTACAGGTAAGAAATACAGAGGAAAAAAGAGAGAAGCCCATGTAGAAAATTTGTGTAAGTGGATGATAGAATAGGGACTGGGTGAGATATTTAAAAGACATGTTTCTAAGAACGATAAAGTGTCGGATGTTGTGGAGAAGCATGATTGCACACGTCTTGGACGAAAACAGCACGTAGAAGAATCTTACGGTAAACTGCAAACCATTTTCGAGACCTATATATTTCATTCGCTCACCCATTAAAATTTTTCATCAGCATAATAATTAAAAATAAAATATTAATATTTTAATGGATGAGCGAGTGAAAGATATAGAACTCGAAAATGGCTAGCGGCTCTCTTTTGGCTTTAGTCAGTTTTTGTTGATTGAATGTAAGAGGAACAAAACGTAATCTACCGAGAGAACTTGAGTAAATTGATTGCAGAACAGGGTTTAGGAGGGATAAAAAAAGGATAAAACTTGGTACTTCTTTCGTTTATTACCTACAAAGAAAAATATATTCACCGTACAAATTTTATTTTGGGATGGTATCTTCATAATAAAACATAAATATATATAACATAAAGAAAATGTAATTAAAATATTATTTTTTTCTTTTATTCATATTCTAGCAATGAACAGTATGTACAAAATGTCTACACTGCATAAAATTTCTACGCTGTATAAATTTTAATTTGGAATGATATCTACATAATAAAACATAATCTCATACATATAACATGGAGAAAATGTAATTAAAATATTTAAAAAAATATTACTGATATTATCTTGAAACCAAGACAAGTGTTTTCCCTGTTCTTGGTATAGATTCATGACATGTAGATTGTAATATAAAGTGTAGATCGCCTACCAAAATAGATTCATGACACATAGATAACACGCCCAGTTAGCATCCAATATTAATTAGGACCTACATATGATAGGAAATTATGGAGAGCCGTGATGGCCAACGTCCTGAAGAGACATAGCATAGTGAATAAAAATATGCTGACATCCGCTTCAAGAAATGTCGCTCTGAATGCTGTTATTATATTGATTGGCGCTCAGGGTATGTTTTCCAAGCAAAGATAAGCGCGACAGTCGTAAAAAATGAAATAATAAAGGACGGCATGCTTCTTCGTATCGTGCAGGGTACAATATCACTACACTATGTTTGTATCCTCAAGCAAAAAAAAAAAAAAAAAAATCCCGAAACAGCCAGAGTGTAAACCACACTTGGTATAAATCGTTGTTATAGTTAAATGTTACGGAAATCAACAAAAGTAAGTAAAATATAAATAAACAATGCGAAATAATTCGTCACGAGCGAAACAACTGTCTAAAACATTTCACTAAATTGTTATTAGTGTCAATGTATTTAAGTCCTTCTTTACAGAAGAGACGAAAGAAAAATCTCAAGTGAGCAAGAGACAAAACTCATTTAGCTTTACCCCCTTCTGTAAGCAGCCTGCTCCCTCTAGGGGTCATTTTGTAACGTCATCCTATGAATGATTACCATTTAGCGTCTATTAGTCTGTCAGACTCAAAGGAAAAAGCAAATTTCTATTTCTTTTTTTTTTTTCTGAATAGACCGACCGTTCAATTGTCCAAGTGAGCGACCCAATTTCTGGCAATCCTGCCATGTATTTTGCTTCGCCCGTTAACGGCGAAGCGAAAATAATGACATCAGTTTTAATTTTGGCGGGCAAGGGAAGGAAAAGAGCGCTGCATTTAGTAAGCGTATCAACGACCATCAAAACAAAAGAAAAGAAAAAAAAAACAATCCGTTAACTCGTTTCCTAAATAAAACAATTTTTTTCGCTTTTAAATATTTAAACAAGAACACTATTTTTCTTGAATCAGCATTTCATATACAGTTAGATATACACAGACGTATTTACACATACTCTCTGTCTTTCGCAGACGTATAGATCTGTTAACATATTCTCTCTTTTAGAACCATTATAGTTAATTCAACTGTATCGACGCATTCATGATGAAAAGACAAAAACACGACAACACTTGCGTAACTGAAAAAAATAGATATGATTTATTTATTTGACTGATCGATATGATTTCTTGCGGTCAACTCATATCGAACCACGTTTCTTAGTGTCGAGCCTACAGTAATTTTCCTTGTAATATTTCACCCCAAGGAAAGCGTTAAAGCCACTAGGGTGCAATGGATTACTGGGAGCGAAAAAAGAATGAGGAGAAAGGACAACAAGAGGAATATTTCAGGAAGACCAGAAAGACAGAAGATGGTGACTGACGTTGCATTTAATGTTTTGAAGGTTGTAGGTGGCAGAAAAGCAAGAAATTGCAATGGTCTTCCACATCGAGAATCCCGAGAAAGGCGACTATTAGAAAAAAGCTTAGGTTTACAACTAGCTAATCCAACAATAAAGCGACAGTATAAAACTAATCGTATGCTACAATTCATGCAGTCGAGGTGCCAAGGAGGAAAGCTCATTAGAACAAATGCTATGGAAATATTTATATAAAAAAAAAAGACAGAGGAAAGACACGTCATGGCGGTGGGAAAGTGACTCAAGTCGAGATAGAATGTCGTGACCAATAAGATTACAAACATTTCTTTGTTTTTTGTCACTAATCTCGAGATATATAACAGGAGCACCAGACCAGATACATACCAGCAGTATTAAAAGTACGGACGATTTTTTAAATGCGTAAGAGAGGACCTGACGAAAATAAGTGAATGAAGGAGCCCTTGAAAACATTAGGTAATGTGAGCGATAACCGCTTACAAAATCAGTTGGGCATGAGAGTAGTAATTTTATCCCTTAAAAGGCCCACTTTCTAAGGAAAAAAAAGCAGCAACGCCTGGTGAATTTGAAAGCTACGGATTCGTATATCTCAGTGGAATGTACGGAACTGGACCCATTTTCCTCAGTGGAGTCTACGGAAATCGGTCCTAATTCCTCAGTGGAATCTACTAAACTGTGTCCATACCTCTCAGTGGAGTCTTCGAAACTGGCCCCTTCTCCTTAGTGAAATCTACGGAACTGGGTCAATACTCCTCAGTGTAATCTACGAAACTGTACTCATACTCCTCAGTGGAATCTACGAAACTGTACCATATCCCTCAATGGAATCTATGGAACTGTAGCCATACTCCTCGTTGGAATGTCTGGAACTGAGTGCATACTCCTCGATGGAATCTCTGGAACAATAAATACCCATACTCCTCAGAGGAATCTATGGAAATGTACACTTACTCCTCAGTGGAAACTACGGAACTAGGACCACGCTCCTCAGAGGAATCTCTGGAACTGAGTCCATATTCCTCAGTAGAATGCCTGGAACTGTACCCATACTCCTAGGTGGAATCTCCGGAAATGGGCGCATATTCCTCGGTCGAATCTACGGAACTGTACCCATGCTCCTCAGTAGAATCTATGGAACTGGATCCATGCTCCTCAGTAGAATCTACGGAACTTTATCCATGCTCTTCAGTAGAATCTACGGAACTGGGACCATACTCCTCAGTGGAATCTACGGTATTAAAGCGCGGAGTGGAGTGACACGAGATAATTCTAAGTATACGTAAATAATACATTGCCTCTCACGATTGAGTTTCGGTGTACCTAACCATTGCTACCGAATCGAGGCAGATGTCTGTATCGACCATTTAATGAAAGAAAGCCAGTACAAACGACTTACCATTAATCGTAAGAGGACAGATTGCATGATGCCAATAAAAAAGAACGGATTAAGATGGAAATTATGTCTCAATGGCATTAAATTTAATCATAAGCGGAACTACTAGAATCTAAGCAGATTATTCGCAGATGTCGGTAAGTATGGCATAAAAATTTGCAGATGCATAGAAATAACAAAGACGAAGTCCTGCTTTTGGCAGCGAAATCGTAAAACCCTTCAAATTTTATTATAGCATCAAGATATATGCAGTGAACTGTTGAAAATCCTTGGAGAAAAAGTCTGTATCGGCTAGTACTGGTTACAATTTACAATAAATAAGTGCATATTCATACAAAACAGGATGTGAGTGTGGCCTAATGTATAGCGATGAGAATTTGGAGAGTCGAGTTCGAATTGCACCAATATAAGCATGGTGGTTATAGTCTGGGGAGTTATGTAACCATATGTAAGAGGTCATATGATTGCAGAAATTGACTGGGTCCTCCTGCCTGTGTGGCAAGTTACAGAGCCCTGATGCCAGACAGAGGGTCTTCCACCAGCCACCTTCTTAACCCAAAACAACACGACCTCCTCAAGGCACGTGATGTAGGCCTCTGTGTTGAATCTGAGGCCCCCCCAAAAAAATTCGGTTTATCAGAACGATCAGTGAGTTTTCCATCCTCCTTTACCTTTGTAATCGCCATTAGATCCATCAAGCTCTTTCCGAATCCTCTGCACTGTACCCAGGTTGACATCCAAACACTGTAAAATGATCGTATTGGAGTTTCTGGCATGAATGCCAAGCAGTACCGCCTGTCGTTTCCGAATTTCTGCCGGACAGAATTGCGTCATCGTGCTCTTTTTCTCACAGACAGTGTCCAACTGAGCCTACTATACTTTGCAGTCGATAAAATAAAAAACAATTTATTATTTCATTTTTTACGAAGTCCACGCGCGAAATTAAAAATATAAAATTGCGACAATTCACCCCTCGCACCCTGTATATGAAAATAATCGTTGTTATTTCATTATTCACTCGCCAAAAATTTATTCTTACAATTCAGTGTTTCGGCTTTAAATAACCCACAATGGGTTGATAAACTCTAAAAACAAGTTAATTAATCATGCAAGACAATGTAATTGACCACTGACCACCTAAGCAAAAAAAAAAAAAAAAAACAAAGAAGGAAATAAATATAAGAGAATGAATCCCGGATATTAATCCAGTAGAAGACTTGTGTTTTTCTTCTACTATATGCAATGTCTCTTCAAGACTATGGTGTTCATAGCTCTCCACAACTTCTTATTCATTCTAGCTCTTAGCAATGTTTTCTTCTTACTATCCCCTACAGTCCCTGTTCTGTCCTTTATTTTCAAAAACATTTTTCGATATGTTTTCCTCTTTAACTCTAGACTCCATTTTGTCATGTGAGAGTCAAATTTTGAACACCTTCTCTCTCTCAATATCGAAAAAATAAATCTCTCTCAATATCGAAATATAAGTGTCCTTTTAGATTCCATTTTCCATAAAACCTTCTCGTAAAATCTCGTAAAATCTCGTAAAATCTCGTGTCCATTCCACTGCATTTTCAGCATTCTTCTGTATTTCTCTTACTTCATTGCTCTTCTTCATCAGTTAGGAAATTGTCCAGCATTCATGGCCATAGAGGGGGACTGATATCACATAACATTTCAGCACTTTTCTTTGTTTAGAACGAAAATTTCCCGTTTCTTAATACTTGCTAAACTTTTGGAGAGCATCATTCACTATTCCAATGTTACATCGGATTTCGCTGTCAAATTTTCCTACTTCTGTTAAAACACTTCTCAGATATTTGAATTTTCGTACTTTTTTTTTATTATTGGTATCTCCAATTTGGGCTGTTCTTCTTGTTAACCACATATTCTGTCTTTTTACTATTAATGTTTAGTCCTTTCTTCTCTCTTTCCTTTACTATATTCTCCAGAAGCTCCCACATTTTCCTGTCTGTTATCAACACCGTGTCATCTGTATAATTTATCCCGTTAAGACTTCACCTGCCAATAATAAATCCTGGTAAAATATCTGTAGAACCGTACAATAGACATATTTGTGAAGCGTAAAAAAGTATATGTAATCCAAAAAGCCTTCCGGGAAGCAAACAAACTGCAATAAATATTGTTACGGTTAATATCGTACTTAACAAATTAACTGATGGAAGATGAAGGTAAAAAATGCCTGTGTTAATACATAAAATAATTTAATCAACTGTGTAGGATTTTATGTTAATGAAATATGTCTAACGCTTGGCAATTTTTGCATTTGTTTATAAACAAAACTTAAGATGTTTTGAGCATAACGAAACCTGAGAACCAAAAATAAATTATGATCATTATTTTAAAGAATGGTAGATATTGCAAGCTTCCATATCTTGTCTGTTGATTCAGCTGTATATCTCGTGATTCTTGACAAAAATTAAAACAAGTGTATATAATGTTATCGATCCTGACCAGACATCTTGACTTCAGTCACTTTCTCATCGACGTGACGTGATTTCCTTCTGTCTTTTCTCCAAATATTTTCATGGTAACTGTCCCCATGTGCTTTTTGTTACTCTGGTGGCTCGACTACATGAATTTAAACACGCTACTAGATTGGCATCTAGGTTTTGCCATCTTGCTGTTGGACTCGCTAGATAACAACCGCCATTTCTATTCTGACAGTTTCTTTTTTCACACTTCTCAACTGTGGAATTCACTTCCGATTTCATGCTTCCCTGCCACCTACAATCTTCAGATATTTAAATGCAACCCTCAATCGCCATCTTCTGTATTCTTGAACCCTGTTCCATTATTTTCCTTTCCTCATTTCTCCTTACTAACTCTCTTCGCGTTCTTTTTCAATCACTGTAACTCCCCTGTGTCCTAGTGGCATTATCACCTTGTTTGGGGTGAAATGATTAAAAAACAATTTGAAGATAACACGATATATCCTCATATAAAAAGAAGTAAATCTTCAAATTTTAATCTGCTTCCATTGATTAATACCATTTTAATTCTGAAAACATTGCTTTGCATAATAAAATCATACAGACACAAATCTCTGTGTGCGCGTGTCTGATTTTCTCCAGAAGTGTTATAATGTCTGTCAAGAAATGTATATATAATATTTTACAAGTATTAGGCACAGTTTTTTTTAAGACAATTATATTATTTAATATTGATAATAACCAAAAACTAGAACTGAATAATTTTTATGGTCCGGTTCCTTGTACCACGGTGATAGTCCAAGGTAGAACCAATAAAGAAGAACGCGAACACAGGTATGGAATAACACAGATATATTACAAACAGGAATATATACAGAGAAGAAGAAGTACGAACAATCAGGTTTAGTAGTAATTGTCTGAACGCGACTTTGTTTCGGACTGCCTCTGACTCGACTGACTGACTCGCTCTGACTGGCTGACAGACTCCTAACGGACTTCACTCCAGACTTCAGACTGACTCTCCGCTTCCTCTTGAGGCGCAGTATTTATTACATATGGAATAGTCCATTATGTTATTATGGGTAAGGTCCCATAACAATAATAATATATGATTAAGGTGTTAGGAGAACCGATGGAGTAACGGTTAGCGGATCGGGTTGAGGAATCAGAAAGCTGAGTTCGAATTCCAGTTGAATAGATTATATTCAATTACGCATAATGTGAAAGGTCCATCACTTCCCTCCCTATCGGAAAAATAGTGGAACAGACTGGGTTTTAACAGGCTTAGGTTTCAACTGGTCTAGGAGAAGGACAACTCTAAATTCATAACCGTTGTCCTTGAGAAGCACATACTATGAAGCTAAATGAAAGGAGCGTGGATATTACAGTGAGTCTATGAGTCGGTAAGTAAGATATTCTATAAGGAAAAATAAATAAAGGGTGGGATACCATAAATTTACACTATTTAATTTGTTCGGATTATTGTCCTCGGTCTTTGTCCAATCAATTCACAGAAAATTTTCACACAACGTTGGCAACACTGACCTGCGCAATCACTGAAATTTCCGTACTGATCTGCGCAATATAAACAAACTGGCGCCATATTTGTTATCAGCGCGGTGATTTGAGCGTGCCAAATTATTAGAAAGGTTTAGTAAAATTCCCAGAATTGAGCAAAGAAAATGTTTATTAATGTTGCACGTGAATGTTTATGATCAAAAGAAGCTAATAAATAAGATAATCAAACAAATAATAACAGATACAAAGAAAGGCACAGTTTTAAACAAATTAAAAGGGAATGTGTTTTCCTTGTTTTGAAATTACTTGAAGAAGTCGACGATCCATAGAATTTGTTAATTGTAGGATGTCATCTGTTGTAATGCCACCAGATATGTCAAGAATTGCTTCCCACAACTCAGCGTTTTTCCTGAATTATCGTCCTTTGGCGTACAGACTTCGCTTCATAATGCTCCAAAGGTTTTCGGTTGGGTTCAAACCTGGAGAATTTGCTGGCTACTTCATTTTTCGAGGTCCATCGAAGCCTGTTTCAAATATTCAGTAGTGTTGTAAGCAGCATGTGAGGGAGCATTATCTTGCATGAAAACAATGGCCCTTCTGAAGGCAACTCTTTTCCTTTTCATCCACGGTTCAAGATGCTCCTTCATAAACGCTATGTATGCATCAGCAGTCATTTTGAAGCCATCTGGTACTCTCCATGGGCCCACTAATGTTTTTCCAATAATACCACCCCTGATCATTATGCCTCCACCGCCTTGTTGGCGTCTCAAACGCTGATGGCGATTCTGTCCGTTCATTACCCAGACTTTGCACCATCTATCTGTCCCATCAAATGTTGTTCGAGTTTCGTCACTGAACAAAACTATATTCATATTGTCCTCGGCTCATTTCAATCGATTTTGATTGTGATTTCTCGTCAACGGAGGATTCGATACAGGTTTGACTGTTGTTGCTATTTCCCTCAGATACCAACATTGAGTATTTTTAGACACAGTAGGATCCCCAATGCGACTGAAAAGCTCTTGACTGGTAAGTCCAGGGTTCTTAGTGGCCTCTCGTTTAAGTGGTGACATGAGACGACGTGAAATAACCTTCGGCTTGCCTTTATCTGCCCTTTTGCGTAATTGCGAAGGGTCGGCGGTGAACTTTTTCACTGTTTGATGACACCTCCCTATCATTTTAGAAATTTCTAGGGTAGATTTACCTTTTGAGAGTTTTGAGGTGATAGTTTTCTTTTCAGTATCACTTAACCTGCTTTTACGGCCCATCTTTTCACAAAATACTTACGCTTTTCTAATAATGTGGCACGCTCAAATCACCGTGCTGATAATAAATATGGCGCCAGTTTGTTTACATTGCGCAGATCAGTACGAAAATGTCAGTGATTGCGCAGGTCAGTGTTGCCAACATTGTGTGAAATTTTTGTGTGAATAGATTGGACGGTTTTTGAAATATTAGAAAAAAATATTATCTTGATAATAATTTGGCACGTAGTGTATATATATATATATATATATATATATATATATATATTCAGTAATATATATACATATATATATTCAGTATATGTATATATATATATATATATATATATTCAGTAATATATATATATATATTCAGTAATATATATATATATATATTCAGTATATATATATATATATATATATATATATATATTCAATATAAATATATATATATATTCAGTAATATATATATATATATATTCAGTAATATAAATATATATATATATATATATATATATATATATATATATATATATATATATATATATATATATATATATATATATATATATATATATATATATATATATATATATATATATATATATATATATATATATATATATATATATATATATATATCCTTGTTCTTTTTTTCTGGTTTCGAATAGATTAATATTTTTACATGGAATCAAACAGTCCTTTCTTTTTAATGGGCATTTACAAAAATATATAGGCCTTGCAAAACTATCAGATAACCAGCATGCAGCCTGGGAAACATAGTTTGTTCAACACCGAAGTAAAAGTTTTTGATATATTCCAGTAATATAAATGAAGTACAATAAGAATTGACACCTTGAGATTACCTTACAAACATTAATTTGCAAATTTCCGTCGAACAATCACCGCATGCCTCTCACCATAGCCGACAACTTAATACGTCTTCGTGTACGATGAATGGCTATTTAAAACTTGAGTAGCGTGTGTAATGACCTTCAAAATGGCGACGTATAAGGAGTTGACTCAGTAATTTCTCGAGGTGAAAGGGGATATAGAAAGTGTTGGATATCAACCAGTATGATTAGTGAAGAATGTGATAATAATCAGCACGATTAGCGCCACCATTTTTACAGTAAGGTTCACCCTGTACAAGGTCCGCGGGTCACTCGAGGTAGAGGGTTACGTTAGGAGGCAGTTTTTATGGATAGGAGAGGAAAGTACCGGTTAAACCTAGATTAAAAACAGGTTAAAACGGAAAATAATTTGTCCCCCACAAGGAATGGGAGGCGCTTTTGGACTCGAAGCTGTAAATTGCGGTCTGTGCAGCTCCCGTCTAAATATGGCAACAGTACTCCATTCTTGGTCTGATATTGTTCTTGTAAAGCTAAAATATAGCACGTGGTGTTATGTACTTTCTGGAGTGATACAGGTAGACGACCGTTTTACCTGCACCCTTAACGATAGTTCGTATGTACGAGTTCCACTTGAGGTCAGGTGTGAGTTTAAGGTCAAATATTCTCTCAAGTCACGTTTTTTTTTTTTTTTTTTAAATAGAGATAAAAGGCCTGGCTATCGCTGATCCTAGAAAATAGCGACCACTGTAAATCTAAATAGGGAAAAGCGCGATCCAATAGTTGTAAAAAAATGTCGAATCCGTTTATAATTCAGAGAACTTTTAGAACATGTAGGTAGCCTTCCCAAAAGTGACCAAGGGTAGAATATGTCGGAGACAGGGGATAAGTATGTGTTTTGGATTCCGAGTATAATACTAGTACTGGAAACCATGTACGTGAAGGTCCGTTTACTGTTTGTCCATCATCATCCCAAGAATCATGTTCTTTTTTGGAACAAAATATTGTGATTTGACAAGATTTTAATCAAACGCTATGCTAGAAACAGTTACAGTATGGACCTCCAAATACCAGATCAGTAGTTAAACACGTTAGTGGAAAGATAATAATTTAGG